GTTGGCGCACGAAAGAAATGGATATCGAAAATCTCTTCCCGCCGGTATAAAAATGATCTTAGCCGCATCACGGAAAGATCTACACAGTAGAGTTTGTGAGCCTACGACGCCATGCTCTCTGTGTGTGTAAATTTCACGAACTTAGCTTTTTGATTAAATATCACTTTAACGTCGGTCATATACTTTTACAGTATTGTTATCTTATCGTGTGATTCATGTGTTTTTAGTACAAAAGTTTAGCTGTCCCGTAGCAACGCATGGGCACGAACCTATTTACATATATACTCAAACATGTATGTACATGATTATATGGAGATGCAGTAGAACTTATTCATGGATTTATTGACGCATGAAAGAAATGGATATAGTAGAATTTTTTCTGCCAATATAAAATATTATCTTAGCTGTATCACGAAAAAGTCTATACAGTAGAGTTTGTGAGCCTGCGACGTCGCGCTCTCCGTGACTGTGTTAATTTCACGAACTTTGCTTTTTCAATTAAATGTCACTTTGATATCGGTATTTAATTTAACAGTATTGTTATCTTATCGTGCGATCCATATGTTTTTAATAGAAAAAATTTAGTTATTCCGTAACAACGTACGGACACGCTACCTAGTTAATTAATAAAGGAGAGAGATCCACAGGGTTGTGCGCCGGTTCTAATACGCTTTTGCCAAAGCACAGGACTCGTACGGTGCGACCAAGTCCTTGCTAGCGTCCTCGTCGTACCGCCGGACGGTGACGCCAACAGCACGCGCGCGTTTCCCGTCGACAATGACTGAGGCAACTGGGGTGGTTCTTGTTTTTTCGTTTCATGGTCGTCTGAAACTCCAGCTAGTGCGGTTCCAACCTTTGCAACCTAACACCTAGGTTTTCGTTTAGGCACGCCGCATCTTTACTTAATTCAACGTAGCCGGGACGAACACAGTGTCGATCGTTTAATTTCTGTTATTTTCTTGCTCTGTGTAACTACGAATTGAAGACAGCCATTTCAAGATAAAGGAGTTTTAGACTTTTAGTTCCGGAATGCATGCTAGCTAGAGACCGACTACGATGCTGGATTGTAATAGTTGCTCTTGATTCTTGAAAGGCTACTGGATTGCTGGAGTTATAATTCTGTATTAGGGCAACGTTTGATCCAGGCGCTACCATTTGGACGCTCAAGTGATGTTCGATGGAAGAGACACAATGGCATGGTGGTTAGCCAAGCCAACCGTAAAGTTTGATTTGTCCAACAAAAATCATTTCTCCTTTGAAGCTTTGCCCTCTGATCTGCTCATCTGCAACTCAAAATAATGGATGCTTCAAAAGTTTTATTTTTCTACTACAACATATATAGATGCAGAGTTTGCATGCTTGTTGGGCTGCATTTTCATTCCACTGTCAAGAGAACATAATGGAATTAAGGAGTACGAAAGTTTTTTTTAGTACTTTCTGGAACTCTTTGATGACGACTAGAGCTAATAACTGCATGAGATTTTTTTTTTCTTTCACATGAGCCAGCAAGATTAATAAATAATTGGTCGATCGGCTGGTTGGTGAACAAGCAAAGGCCCTTCGCCACTCCATGCAACTACATCTTAGATATAAATACATATCTTTTTCATGTAGCGTGATCAGAACCTGAAAACTTTTTAAAAAAAACTTGTATCATTTAGCTGCTAAAGGGGACAACTCTCGAGAAGAAGAGGACAAGGAGCGTGCCCCATAGTTCCTGAGAATGGGATGCAATGGGAACTTGAATTGAACTTGAATTGAAGGAACTCAGAGTTGGTTCGATTTGGACCCTGGAGAAAATTGCGTGAGTGGAGCAGACCTGGATGTTGCCTGTGATCAGTTTGCTTGCAACCCTGAGAACTAATCGTCCTGGTGCAGCTCAGCAATTAGCCAAACATGGCAAGAAAAACTTGAAAAAGTCTAAATTACGAGGAAGAAGAGGAGAATCCGGACGGTCAGCAGGGCCAGCCTTCGAGAAGGCGATTGAAATCCATAACCTGAAACAAATTTGGATTGCATGGTAGAATTTGGAACATAGAAGCATGCACTTAGGGGACTGTCTAAATGGACAAAAGGGGACAACAGTAAGACAAACGAGGTGTCTTTGGAGGGTGATTTATTTCTCCTTGATTTTTGTGCTGTATGGACTCTTGCTTGTGCACATTGTTCTTCTCCAATTTCCATCGACGGCGTGGTGTGCGGTGCAATCGTGGGGTACTGGGATCGGTGGACGGCCGCGATGCGACTGCTGCCGGCGGCGAGCACCAGTCGGCCATCGCCCATCGGACTCTGACATCGGCATCTCCACGACGGCAAACGCAAAGCAGCAGGCCAGCAGGTACTCTGAATCCTAGCGACTCCAAGACTGAACTGCTATTTTCGAGCTTCTGGGCCCTCCGGCGAGGTCTGATTCGATGGCTCCTCCTCCTCCCTCCCCCTCCTCCTCCCCAGCCCTGCCGGCGACCGCTCAGGCGCCGCCAGCCACCTTCACCTCGCCGGCCTCAGGTAAGGACGCCGCCTCCTCCCCCTCCCCCCTCTCCCCAGACGCCGAGCCCTTCTTCCCAGGGGCACGGTCGGCGGGAAGGGGCAAGTCGCAGCGGTGGGAGATGGACTCCTACGACTCCGACACCGACTTTGACTGCAGCTCGCCGGAGGCTGCCTCATACCTCGACGTGGCACGCCGCGGGTGCGAGGCCGCCTCGATGGATCGCGCGGGTGCGCAGCCTGACAGCCAAGGCCCGGGGGAGACTGCGGCCGAGGCGAGTCACTGCGCGCCCACCAAGACGCAGAACCGCCGCCGCCATCGCGCCAGGGCAGCGGCTCGGCGGGGGACGGGCAGAGCCACGGCGACGCAGCGGGTCTCGGCGACGCAGAGGACCGGCCCTCAGGCAGCGGAGAGGGTCCCCGCCCATCGGCGGCTGGGGCCCCAGAGACGAGCCACCCCGCCGGACGCCAACGGCTGGCAGAAGGTGCTCCCGAGCGACGAGGGTCGTCCTCCGCCAAGAGCGTCGCAAAGACAGTCCCAGTCCTAGCCCCGCCGCCGCATCCCACCGGAATTCGATGGTCGCTGCCTCAACTGCCTCTCCTACAGTCACAGGGTGGCCACGTGTCATCTGCCGCACCGGTGCGTCCGCTGCCACAGTCTGCACCACCTGGCAAAGGACTACAAGCGGCCAAGAGACCACGCCAGCGGAGGGGACAGGCCGGCGGGGCGAAGATTCGTCAGGGCGCACCGCGATGGATCCACCACGCCGTGGGGTCAGTTGCGAGGGGCCCGACGCCACCTCTCGAGCCGCTGCCACTCCCCGACCGATCCTCCAAGGAGCCTGCATCCGAGTTCGTCGATGGGGCACCACCTGGCTACCCGGCCGCTAGGCCACGGGAGGCCGAGTGCTTCATCTAGATCAAACCTGGCCACGGACTCCGCGGAGACGGCGCTGCACCTAGCCCTCATCGCGTAGCCGAGCGGGTTCACCGTTGGATGCTCCACATCGGAGGTTCTGCTGGCGGTCATGGCCGCATCAGGGGTGGCGGCGGACGATGTCCGGGTCAAGAAGTTCTACCCGGAGCAATTCATCATCTTGTGTAGTTCACCGGCGATCAAGGACCGGGTGCGGGCGGCATCGCCGGTACCGCTCAACGACACGCCGCTGGTGCTCCTACCGTGGACTCGACTGGTGCACGCAAACCTATCGACGCTACAGTACAAGCTCACCGTCGAGCTTGAGGGGGGTGCCGCCGCACGTCTGGCGTGAAGACACCGCAGCCAAGCTCCTTTCGCCGTACTGCTGGATACAGAGCATCAAGCCAATCACGGCCGCCAGCGACGACCTATCCTCGTTCCGCCTCACAGCATGGACGAATAAGCCAAGCTCCCTGCCACAAATCTTATGGCTCAATGTCGTAGAGCACAAGGTCAGATCAGCGGAGACCGGAGGGGTCAGATTCCGCGGGACTCAGCCGTTCCTGTGGAAGAAGGACACGCTGTGGTACAGGATCATCGTCCACCTGAGATGCGTTCATGACTACTCGCCGCAGCCAGATTACAGGGGTGATGGATCCTCGTCCGACGACCCAGCCGAGGACGGCAGGAACAGTAGGCATCACCACAGCCACCGCGACTCCAGCACAGAGATCTACCCCTTCCCCTGTCGCCGTGGCGAGCCGGACGGCAATGCTCCAGGGACATCAGGCGGCGACGGGCAGGACAGAAACCGGGACCGCCAGGGCCCGCGCAGGCGTGTACCGGCACACCAAAGGCTAGGCCCACACGGGAAGGCTCGTGTACCTGCTCCCTAGTGAATCGGAAGCTACGAACATCCTCGCCCCGGTCAAAAAAGCAGAAAGCAGTTCCAGGCACCGCGGCAAGTCTGGCGTCCTAAGCAAGCTAAGAGACAAGAAGCAACACCAACCCAGCCAGAGATTGCCAAGGCTGACAACCGCTCTGCTGCCACTAGTATGGGGGGCACCGGGACAGCTACTCCCCAGCCAGCCCACCTGGTAGAAGATCAGGATGCCCAAGGAGGCCACCTGGCCACCGATGAGAACTCTAGGACAAGCGGCCACCAATCACCCAGTTCACGCCGGAAATACCGGAGGCGGCGGCCGACGACGTCACAACAGAAGCGGACGGCGGGGACCTGATAGCAGCGGCAGATCAAGCGATAGCGATCCCGCAACCGGTACAGATTCAAATCACAGCCGTTTCAGGGGACCCAGTGGTGGACGACGTCGACGATGGTCCGTTGGCAGCCGAAGAAGCAGCCAAGGCAAAGGACGCCGCCACATCGACACAGGGGGACCGGACACAGGCGGAGGGTGGGCTGGACAAAAGCCCGCTGCCGCCGACCCATGAAGGGAGCACACCTCAGTCCAATGGCCCACCTGCCCATGAGGCCCAGGAGGCTAGTCAGGCCGTAGCAGTTGATGTCGATCGTTCAACAGCCCACCAATCACCGCCATAGGACGGGACGGTGCCGGACGGGGAACAGGGGGCTATAATGCCACCGGTCAACAGGCCGGAGCGCACTACACCATTGCCGCCGAAGGACACGGCATCGGTGCAGCGAAGGTTCAAGTCGTTCGCAGTGAAGGTCAAGAGGCCCAAGCCTGCGGCGCTACTGAAGCGCCCATCACCAGTCAAGGCGGTAGAAACACCCAGGAAACACCCAGGAGAAGCGCCCATCACCAGTCTGTCGTGGATTCCGACGTCCAAGCGTGGGGAGTATCTGGTGCTCAAACGCCTTGGACACGCTTCCCCACTCTCCGCATCCACTGCTAGGAACAAATTCGACGCCTTGTTCGGAAACAACCCGGAGGACGACGAGGCGCTCAGGGAACTGTTCCCGGATGATGGCCACATCGGCGGCCGCAGGAGGCGCCGTCGTGCGTGGGCTTAAATAGCTTGCTTCCCGGTCGACAACAACAATGGATAACACAACCATTGTGTGTTGGAATGTTCGCGGGCTCAACGATAGAGCCCGGCGGGACAACATGCGCACAATGATGAGAGACGCACACGCCCATGTTGTTTGTCTAGTTGAGACTAAACTACAATCTGTAAACCAATGGCTAATAGCCTCCATGCTGGGAATGAATTACATTGATTACGCGTATGTGCCAGCGGCTAACACCAGGGGCGGGATAATTGTGGCAGCACGCTCTCCAGATGTTGCACTGCAAGAGCCGCACATCGGTTGCTACTCCACCACGATCAAGGTGTTAACGCATGGCGCAGATCCATGGTGGCTGTCCGTAGTCTACGACCCGCACGATGAAGCCGCCAAGGAACACTTCCTGGAGGAGCTGGAAGCGATCAGAGACCAATGCCAGGGGCCTTGGGCCATCATTGGGGACTTCAATCTAATACTACAGGATTCTGACAAGAACAACAGTCGCATCAACAGAAGGACGATGCAGCGTTTCAGGCAAACGATGGCTGCTCTACAGCTGCTAGACATACATCTCCATGGACGGCGGTATACTTGGAGGAATGAAAGGGAGCAGCCGACCATGGTGAGGCTTGATCGCGCCCTGGCATCGCTTGATTGGGAAGAGCGGTTCTCGGACTGCCACCTACAGGCTCTCGCATCAGACGCCTCTGATCATTGCCCGCTGCTGCTCCAAACAAGCCTGACAGCCTACACGAAGCTAAGATTCCACTTTGAGATTTTCTGGCCCACCTTCCCAGATTACCAAGATGCACTAAAATGGGGCTGGAGCTGTCCTGACTCGGTGCATGATCTGATCGTAAGGTTGGACATCATGTTCAAGGAGCTGGCCAAGGAACTGCGAAGCTGGGCCGCGCGTAGGATTGGGTTGGTGCGCGAGCAGCTGCTGATGGCCAGAGCGATCATACTGAAACTCGATCAGATCTCTGAAGAGAGAGCACTGTCAGATTCAGAGATGGAGCTGCATGCCAAGCTCAAACACAAATGCCTCGGCCTATCCTCACTGGACCGAACGATAGCAAGGCAGAGGGCCAGAGTACGCTATTTATCAGACGGAGATGCAAATACCAAATATTTTCACTTGTTGGCAAGAGGTAGAAGAAGGCGGAACATCGTTACCAGGTTGAAGGTAGGTGACACCTTCACATCGGACCACGACACCATGGCTAGCGTAGTACACGACCACTTCATGGCGGTGTTCGGTGTCAGCGACAGTCTGGATGGGGTAGTCGACTTTGAGCAGCTCGGTATCTCGCAGGCTGACCTATCGCACTTGGAGCAGCCACTGACTGAAGAGGAAACCTGGGCTGCGATTCAGGCGCTGCCTCCTAACAGAGCACCCAGCCCTGACAGTTTCATGGGAGCGTTCTACAAGTCTACGTGGCACGTAATCAAGGACCAGGTAGTCGCTGGGATCAATGCGGCGCTGTTTGGAGATGCCAGGGCATTTGGTAGGCTGAACGGTGCTCTGATCGTCCTACTACCGAAGACAGCGGACGCCAACGAGCCGTCCCAATTCAGGCCGATAACAATGATACACAGCTTGGCAAAATTGGTGTCCAAGATTCTTGCTCTCAGGCTAGCGCCCAGGATGAACGACCTGATCTCACCCAATCAAAATGCCTTCATCCGAGGAAGGTCCATACACGACAATTTCAAGTACGTGCAGAGGGCGGCAGTGCTACTGCGCAAGAAAAAGATACCCAAGATCCTTCTCAAACTGGACGTGGCAAAGGCCTTCGACACTGTCGAGTGGCCATTTATGCTTGCTGTGCTCCAGGCGATGGGGTTTGGCCCGTGCTGGAGGCGTTGGATAACCACTCTACTTTCGTCGGCAACCTCCAACATCCTGCTAAACGGTCAGCCAGGGAAGCCGATCAGACATCGACGGGGGGTGCGGCAAGGTGACTCACTATCGCCATTGCTATTCATCATAGCCATGGAAGTGCTCGGAAGATTGTTCAGCACGGCGAGAGAGCAGGGGGTACTGCGTAGTATGAGCACGGATGGAATCAAGTTCCAATGCAGCATCTATGCCGATGATGTCATACTGTTCGCGCACCCGGACGCCAACGAGGCCCTGGCCATCAAGGGGATTCTGCAAATCTTCGCGGACACCTCAGGGCTAAAGACCAACATGGCCAAATGCTCGATTACCAACATACATGGGGCAGAGGACACCATCGAACATGTCCGACAGGTGCTTGGCTGCCAAGTGACGCCTTTCCCCATCCGCTATCTCGGGCTGCCCCTAAGCACAACCAAGCTGCCCAAAGAACACGTCCGGAAGACAGTGGACGCCGTCGCGCGGAGACTGCCTGCATGCCACGGCCCCCTCATGGCCAGAAGTGGGAGGCTGATATGGGTAAAATCGGTGCTGACCGCAATCCCCGTCTACTGCATGATAGCTGATGGTCTGCCTCCATGGGCATGGGCAGAGATCGACTCAATCTGTAGACGATTCCTATGGACTGGAAGTAACGGCGATGTCAGGGGGGAATGCATGGTGGCATGGAAGACGTGCACACGGCAAAAAAAGCTCGGGGGGCTGGGAATCACAGACCTGAAACTCCAGGCAACGGCATTCGAAGCAAAGTGGTTGTGGCTTCAGAAGACTGACGCCGATAGAGCTTGGACATCGCTGCCACTGCAGCAATCTAATGAAGCGAGGTCCTTCTTCCAAGCATCAACTTACACAATCATCGGCAATGGCCGGAATACTCTGTTCTGGCAAGACAGCTGGGTTCATGGGGTGTCAATCAGAGCAATGGCGCCCACCTTGATGCACTTTGTCCCCAAACGAGTCATCTGCAGGCTAACAGTGGCGGAAGCACTCACGGATAGGCATTGGGTGCGCACCATATCCGACGGAGTAACTGCCCCAGCAGCCGCGGAATACTTGCAGGTCTGGCACGCGATTGAGGACATCGTCCTCACGGACGCACCGGACCGCCTCGTCTGGCGATGGGAGTCTGACGGAAGCTTCTCGGTCCGATCGGCTTATCAGGCATTACATCTCGGTTCTCACCCCATTCCGGGCTGCGTCAGGATTTGGGAGGTGTGGGCGCTGCTCAAGGTCAAGCTGTTTCTCTGGCTGGCGGTTCGCCGCCGACAATGGACAGCGGACAAACGACGGAAGCATGGGCTCGATGCACACGACACCTGCTTCCTGTGCGATCAGGAACCGGAAACCATTGATCACATCATCGTCGAATGTTCCTTCGCCAAGTAGTTGTGGTTCGAGGCAGCCACGGCGCTTGGGGCAACTCTGACCGAGCAACCAGCCGGCGCCATTGTCGACTGGTGGCAGACCTGGAGAGCTCTTTGGCCAGCGTCATTTGCAAGAGGCGCAGACTCCATGTTCACGCTAATCGCTTGGGAAATCTGAAAAGAATGTAATGCGTGTTGTTTCCGCGGAGCAGCCACACAGATTCCGACGATCAAGGCAACCATCAAACTTCAGGCAGAGCTATGGGTCCAGGCCGGTGCGAAGCACCTAGGTTGTTTAATTCAGCGAGTAATAGGTTAGAGAAGAAGCTGAGCAGGGTGGGCGCGCTCAGTGTTAATCTTGTAAACCACCCGAGATGTAACAAACTATTCTTCTACTTAATACAAAAACGCGCAAATCTTTTGCGTGATTGAGAAAAAAATTTCCATCGACCAGGCCAGCAGCTACTAGTATAATTGTCCAACTTTTTGACATAGAGTGATTTAAAATGGCATGTATGTAAGATAATATCCCAAACTTAGATGAAGGGTGTAAGATTCAAAGTACTAATTGTGCCCCAGCTTCAAAAAAATAAATAATGTAAGTATGTAACTGCCTGGTTGGTGAAAAACTAATATCACTGGTCACTCTGTGCAACTACATGTACCTATAAATATCTATCTTCTCTAGGTGGCATAGTCAACACACCCAGATTGTAAGCTTGCCCAAACCATTCGACAGCTTAGGGAAGAGGGATATGAGATGTCAAGTGCCATCGTAACTCAATTGCTCTTTGGGATGGGAATACGATCGGCCGTCAGGAAACATTAATTTCCTAGCAGAAGCTCCTCACGGTTCGGGGTTCTCTAGATACCACTTTTAACCGGTCAGATTTAAACACTAGCTACAATTAAAATGAACCAAATGGCTAGGGTCATCAAGGTATTATGATACCTATATTTTGAGGATGACGAGTATAATATGTCAGGCTTAGATGAGCAAAAGGAGACAAATGTGGAGCAAAACCTTCTCTGCATGTAACACAACAAGAGTGAGAATCTCATCAAAAGGCTGGGAAGTAGAAATTTGACTTCATATGTTCACATAGTTACATATACAATTGAGATTCAAGTTATTATGTGTGCTAGCTCGAATAAATGAAGTTCTGTAGAAATAATACAGCATAACAAAAAATTGACCTACTTTTTGCTCATGTATTATCAAAGGCCCTCTAATCCTACATATAATAGAACTATTAAAGGGACAGATACTAGCATTCCAACAATGACCCTGAAGCAAACGAGCAGCAAAAACGGTTAATTAAGCTGTAAATGTATGCCTGAACAATTTTTAGTCAAAATAATTCTTACGCTGTTCTGAGCACGTCGGGATGCAATCCATATTCCTTTGCAAAGATAAATGAAGTAATAGATTGTGGTACTGCAGCCTGCAGAGCCAATGTCACATCCAGAAAATTATTGCACAGACCATAAGTGACAGATAACGACATAAACCAAAATCTCCTTAGCATATAGATTCTTATATAGCCACAAAGAAAAACGTTACCACCTTTGAAATTACTTACAGTATCATGTATTGAATTAGAATTAGCTATATGGGCCATGGTTGAAGAGTGTTCCGAAGACCAAAGGGTAGTATTTGGGGTATTTACATCCATAGAAGATTTTCTTATGTCTCACAATATTTAGTAACTAATTAAGTGGTTTCATAAGATAGTTTT